CAGACATCCCAGGTGGTGAAGGAAACAGTTTCTTTAGTCTGCGATAATTTATTCTCCAAATCTCCAGTGAGGCTGTCGTTCTCCAGTGTCCAGAAACATGTTTGGACGTTCTGACCCACTGCACCTACACAACTCTGACCCGTTAAAATATAGTCTGACCCGCAAAATATAGTACGCTGCTAGATACATAAAGAACACATACAGATAACAAAGACAATGTGTAAAAAGAAAAGAATCAATCAATTTTAACCATTTGTTCACAGGACCTCACTCAAATACTTTGGGGGACAATTTTTCAAGTATAAATTCAGATTTTCAAGCCACAAAATCCAACCATCTTAATGTTTTCTGTGGCTAATAAATATTTGGTTAGCACAAAATGTGGATCAAACATTTAAATGTTATGATGTCCCAACAAAATAAACTCAAGTTTGGAGCCTGCAGTCCGACTTAAAAAAAAGTATTTATCAAATTAAACTGCTTTTTTCTACTGATCATATCATGGCTCTGCTTTAGGAAGAATATGTTACTGGATAGTAAACAGCTAAGACATCTGGACACATATGTGATGTATTGTGGTTTGCATGTTGCTAGGCTACCGAGAGTGTTGCATTCAGGGTCTGGTATTCTGTAGAAAAATCCCTTTTTTCATTTAGAGATGCAGACACCAGAACCAGGTGTAACCCTGGAGCCTCTGTTATGAGTGTGAACCAGCGCAACCACAAACGCTAACAGCATGTCACAGCATCGCCCTCCTGAGGAACGATGGAGTTGGTGGTCCCTGTGGTGGTGGAGTTAAGACACACATTCCCTGACTGATGGAACCTGTTCTGACTCGCCTGTGGTGAACATACAGCGCTTGTGTCATTTATCAAACACTTCACCTAATGTATTTCTGAGAAACATTTTACAGAATATATCTGTGTACATGTATCTGTAATATATGTACAACAGTCAGCAGAGAGATGTGGCTGGTTGATCATTGCGGCCATCAAGTTATTTATATATATATATAT